TGATTGTGGAGTATATCTTTTGCTCAATTAACAGGTATTACTAAAGCCAGACAATTTCAGGTGTTTTATTAAAGATCCTGACAATTTCTGTAGAAAGGTACACATTTCTGTAGAAAAGTACAAATATTGGGAAAAGCATATCTGAATGTCTATTCAGAAACCAAAGTGTTACCAAGATTTGCTAATGAAATGCATACCCTAACAACACTTTCCATGTAGCTCTTTTGGGTCATTTTTGTGCCTACTACGAAGTAGTAGACACTTTGTTATCGTGTCTAATGCAAATGAGTAAGTAACAATAGAATGACGTCAAAATTMAATCAATACCCCTTCGGAAGACCCATAAACACAGGAAGCCCTCGGAAGTGATCGGCAGAACATATAACTTAGTGCGATGACCGCCGAAAATTCAATCATCTCTGCGGTTTTACGAACAAGTTCGTGAAAATTTCTCGTCGTATTCACTGCCGTAAAAGTTTGCGAGGTACGTTTACTTTTGTGAGTATATTTTGCCTTAGTTCTTCTTTGTCAAAGCTTTCATATCCCAATATTCGGTGTAATGAAAAGTTCTATTAGTAAGTTTTAGGTCTTTCTTTCAGAAGAAATTGCTCCTAACAGTCAGATAAAGCTCAACCAAACACTGGTTCTGAAACTTCACGCATGAACAAACAAAACAGAAACAAAACTCTAATGAATGTATTCTATTAAAGAAACAAGATCAAACAATGCCTAGTTAGAACTTCCATTGTCCAAAATGGTGACTTAAACTATTATTTAGATTTTATTTCATAGAGATATTGTTCGCACTTTATTACTTTGTATCCAATAAAAAGTGCCTTTTAAAGTCCCTATTAATAAAAATACCTAGTAACGATATTCTGCACTTTCTTTTTGTTGTTGTTGTTGTTGTTGTCATCTCGGCTCATCAACAGCACAGTACCAAAATGAAGGCTGTGCGAGGCTCAATATTTGTGTTCCATAGACTTAAAGCACCGATATTTACAATCTGCATACAGTCGTAGTAGGCACATGCGCTGATTCAGCGCCTTTAATTTGTATTCTTGTCAGTATTCGGTAAGTTTCGAG